GCAAGTTTCCCCCTGGAGAGAACTGATTTTGTTTAGGAATATGAGCGTGCGGCGCAATATGAAGACATGGTGAAATAAAACTGCCTTTTTGAAAAAGGCAGAACTTGTAAACACTTCCTGGAGAGAGGTGAAGGAGACGAAGCTGAGTAGATCACAGGAGGTTTCGAACAAACTGGCCGCCCACGGTTACACAAGCACTTAGCTAAACAGCACCGTGATAATWAATAAATAAAYAAAAGTGAAGTCCGAACGGTAAGACAACAATGGCTTTTTTATTTTAATTTATAATTATTTTTAACACAACAGTTGAAGTCGCTGAGGATGGTCCGCACTTTATCACACCCACTGCGTGGAGACACACGGACTCTGAGCAGAACCGACCCAACTCAAAGTCAATCGAATAGAACTGAGTTCATGGAGAGGGGCTAAACAGGTGCCGCTGCAGTTAACAGTTGTTTATTATATATTATAGTCGAGATGTCAAAAGCAAAATGGTCCAAAGTGTGGTGACATTTTACAAAGTAAGATGCAGAAACTTCCACCTACAACAAATGCTTTAAGAATATTTGGTGCAAAGGCAAATTATTAATGGTTTTAATTTAATATGTTGGTCAATTTCAAGTTTGACTTTGCATCAGAAATAGTCATTGCTTCAAAAACCTCTGTGTGAGTGTGTGTGTTTTATTTATTTATTTTTAAAGTACCGATTTAAATACCGTTTAGGAACCGGTACCGTTTTGAAAGTATCGATTTAGCACCGGTATCGAAATAAACCATTTCAATACCCAATGCTATGACTGGCCCAGGTAAAATAAACTACAAGCAGACACTGCACAGAAAATTGACGTTCTGTTCTCTGATCGGCCCGGACAAAAATTCTCCCGAAGAAATCCTTGTCTATGGGAGAAATCCCAGACGGAGCAGTGAAGGGAAACTAGAACTGAGCGGAACAGTGTAGGAAGGCAAGGGCCAGGCTAGAATTATCACATTACATACATTATTTTCCTTCTATATTAAAAACATAATACTGATGGACTAATACAAAGTAAACTCCTGCTTCACATAATCTTTTTTGTAGGCCTATTCCTAAGATTGTGTGGGATAGCTGCTGAAGAATGGTTTATAGTAAATGGACTGACCTTCAGCCTCCAAAGTACTTTACACTACAGACATTCACCCATCCACACAAATTCACACACTGATGATGGACAGTGGAGACACTGTACCAAAACCAAAATGAGAAAATAGGCGGATAAAATCCTGTTGCAGTAATAGGCTGCAGTCAAATTGGAACAAGTGATGCAGCTGAAAGTCTTTGTCTTTTCATGAACTTTCAAAGACTCAGACATCATTAAGGCTGTGTCATGTCACCTGCATGTACAGAATATTTATTTAATTAATTTCTTCCACGGGCGGCACGGTGGCTCAGTTGGTAGAGCTGTTGCCTCTCAGCAAGAAGGTCACCAGTTCAAATCCCGGTCCGGGGACCTTTCTGGGTAGAGTTTGCATGTTCTCTCCGTGCATGCGTGGGTTCTCTCCGGGTACTCCGGCTTCCTCCCACAGACCAAAAACATGACTGTTAGGTTAATTGATAACTCTAAATTGTCCCTAGGTGTGAGTGAGAGAGTGAATGGTTGTTTGTCTCTATGTGTGGCCCTGTGATGGACTTGCGACCTGTCCAGGGTTTACCCTGCCCCTTGCACTGTGACTGCTGGATATGGGCACCAGTGACCCACGTGACCCTGAAAAGGAAGAAGCGTGTACAGAAAATGGATGGATGGATGGATAATTTCTTCCACTGAGAAAACTCATGAGTTAATTATTTTTTCTATTATTGAAATTATGCTTGCATGCTGCTCTATGCTTACTCAAATACAACTGCTGAGCTGCGATATAAAATTTATAATGTTCATGAAATGAATCTGGATTTAATTATAAGTTTTGGCATTGCAAAAATGCATATCTATCTAATGCCGTAGGTATATTTTTAATACCTCCCTTGACTGATGAGTTGAACAGTTTATTTAAGACAGCGCCGATGTGTTGGATTAAAAACAAAAATGGCAGATACAGTATAATACTGTAGTTTCCAAATACATGCTGATACATTTTTTGAAAAAGAACCCAAAAATCAGTTTCAAATTGCTTCAGATTCCAAACTCATTCCCATCATCGGTTGTACCAGCAGAGGCACATTTTGGATCCCCAGTCTTATTTCCCACCCCACCCTATTTGACATCAAATCACTCCCACACGCCCTGTGAGAGAAACTGGTGAAGTACAGCAGCATGGAGGTAAACAGAAACCTCTGCGGCCTTCTGTTGGAGGGCCATGGGCCTGAATACAGCTGTTCACAATAGACACTTCACGCCTCACTGTGTTTCAAACCAAAAATTCCGTCTGCAGCTCCAAAGTGTGTCCCTCTGTGATTCAGCCATTGAAAACCGTAGACTCAGCTTCCCAGGCCCGCAGCACGCATTCACAACAACAAGCAGCCGCCACAGTGTGATGACATGGGTGAAATGGAAAGAATTGAGAGACAAACAGACTGAAAAGCAGAGGCAGAGTGGAGGATCAGAAATGTATATCTCACTGGGCTGATTGTTGGAGACTAGTTGGTGACTCAACATTATTGGAAAGGAAAAAAAGCTAATTTTGTCTTACTTAATTCGGAGTTTTTGCGACTAACCAGCAAGCTGTGTATCTGTGTTTTGAACAGATTGATTTTTTAAAATGTTTTTTATTGCAAATTTCATGTGCACGGCTTGCAAAATTGTATTCTAGGCCACTCGTATTTGAAACCACTTTGGCTGCCACCCCCACATTTATGATGTTATTTACTGGAGTACACTTTTGAAATGATGACAGGCAGATCCAGATCAGTTTTTTAATAATTATTATTTATCAGTACCGGAGTTTTTAGGCCTGAACTTGTAGGCTGCAGCTCAGGTGCTTTGTGTTAAAGGAGAGCTCCTGTGCAGTTACTAAAACACAGCTCAGTGACATGCCACTGTAATAGGCCCACAGATGGATAAAGTGGGACTAAGCCCTCCTGCTGATACAAATAAAACGATGGATCTGACAGAGGAGGCAGATCAGCTTTGAAACATTTTAGTCTGTTACCTTTTGACTTTGCTAGATTGATACGGTGCGCTGTGAGACTAGCGTAAAATAGCTCCTTCACAGTCCAGTGGTTGGTGGACAAATTTATCACTTCACTCAAAAAGCATTGGATCAACTCCCTCTCAGCACAGCAAAATCAGAGAATGAGTCAGAGGTCAGTGAGGGTTTCTTAGATTCCAGTTCTCCGGGTTCTAATGTATCCTGGGATCTAAGGATGCAGGAAGATTCTTTAGGTTATAAAACCATCATTAAAGAAGGTTTTACCACACTTTTATCACACATTTGTCACATTTTTAATGACTATTGCATGATTGCGAAGTACCAACACTTACTGCTGATTATAAAACATATTCGTTGGTATAAAAAAAACTGTGGTAAGTGAGTCGTGACCTTTGCCTCAGAAAGTTTAAGAACTTGTGAGCATGACTAATGAAATTATTATTTGGTGTGTTTGTTCTGTCCAGTGTTCCCATTTGACCCTGCTACTCTAGCTCAGCATTGTCTATGTGGAATAGGAGTGACATTCTAAAATTGAAACCAACTAAAGTATTGACCCCATAAATTTAGCATCAATACGATCTGACAGTAACGGTAGCAACATTTGTTGCTGTAGATTCAGTCACCCAGGACATGGCAATTTTATAAAAAGACATAGACGAAGCACCTGGACTTCTCTGTAGCTGAAGACGTGCGGAGTTTCAGTATATACACTGCATGATTTGAAGTCCAAATACTTTGCTTGGTAATTTATACTTTACTGGAGTAATAATTTTTCAGCCTACTTTTTACTTTTTACACTTTCACGCAATTATCTGTACATTCTACATTTTAAAAACGCAAAAACTATTTCCATATTTCAATTCTATTTCACTCCAGCTTGTCATTGTTCAGAAAAAAGCAAACCTTTCTTGATGTAAGGCACCTTTTGGATAGAGTGAATTTGATTGTGGTTGGAGGAGAAGTATTTATTCCATTCTGACACCCTATTGGTTTGTACTCAATCCAACGTATCTGTAAGAAAAAAATCACGTCACACTCCAGCAGAACATATGTACGTAGTCTAGTATGAAGATGACTGAGGCAGATATACTGTATGTATGCAGCTGAAACAGGTAGGCTAGTGCATCCCAAAAATTTCAACATTAATATTTTAATATAACATTATGTCAATATTACCTTTAGAAAAATGCTTTTGGGGAGTTGGGGTTGTGTACTATAGATCCTTGTGAGCTTTAATCCTTAATGACTTGTATTTTCCCCTTACATTACTTTTACTTTTATACTTTAGGTAGTTTTAAAACCAGAACTTTTACACTTTTATTGAGTAAAAAGCTGGAGTTGATACGTCCACTTCCAAAAATGTATTCTTTAAATCCCAGTATCTATACTTTTACTTCAGCAATGAATGTGAATACTGTTGACATCCCTTGTATCAATATTCTAAATACTATGATGGATCTGCTTACCTGTACTACAGTGACATAAAAGTTGGATGAAAAGCAACATGACTGTTTAGACTGCGGTTGCTTTGAGGAACATTGGATACTGTACGTATCTAATTTACTACTACATTTTGAAAAGACCTGAGTCAGATAAAAAATAAATAAATAAAAAAAAATCAGATTTGTCACTTTCAGACTGTCATGAAAAAGTGGGTCACATGGGGGCAAAAAAAATTCGATTTAAGTCACATTTGCCGTAGCCCTAGACCAGAGAAGCTTCACATCCTGGAGTTAGAAGTGTCTTAGTTGATTTTTTTATCTCAAAAGGCTGTAAGTTTGCAACATTTTAGAAAAAAAATAATATTTGAGGAAAAAACAAAGTGACCATGCCAAAAAAAATAAAATTAAAAGTTACAAATAATGTCTCAAACTTACCAGAGTGACTCAAATATCCTCTCCTTTTACTCCCTGGATAGTTGTTTTTATTCTTCCCCCTGTAATTTTCTTCAATCTGGTTGAAGAAAAAAAGTAGAAAAAAATTACTCATTTATGTTTTTTTAATGAAAACAACCAACTTCAAAGCAAACTGAAAATCAATGTCCCAGCCACCTTTAAAATCTTTCTCAGTAGGAAGGTTTCTGTGGCATTTTCTTTAACAATGGGCACACTTCTCTACGTATAAATTTATAATAATCTGATCCCTTTCATACTGAGAGTCTTTTCCGCCCACAGTCACACCACAAAATGTTCCAATAAAAAGCTTATTTTTATTTATTTATTTCTTAGGAAAGATTTTTATGCCTGTGTAATCTTCTGAGTGTGTTGGCGCTTCGGAAATGTACTTAAAACACACCCAACTGTGAAAGGATTCAGAGGTGAAAAGAAAGCAAACACACGAGCTGTGTAAACCAGAGTGTGATCATGAATTAGAAGTGTGTAGTCCAAGCTGACAGACACAAAGAACTGCAGCTGAGAGCCGAAGGGGAGACACATCTTCTCTCGTCTTTCCTCTCATCTTATCTACACGACTTCTTCATCTTCAATAAACCCTTTCTTCTGTGCTTGTTCTCCCTCTCCCTCCCTATTTTTTGTCTTCTCCTGCCATCCTCACCCATATACTAATATCTCCTTTCAGATTTTTTTCCAACTCTCACATGTGTCCTATTCTGTCTTAATTGTCCACATCTCTCCTCACCTTCACATCTCAGCACTATCCCCTGCTTTTTAACCTGCAGTTATCAATTCTCTGTTCTTCCTCCATGTCGTCATATCCATGCAGTTCAGAAGATGGTTCATTTTTTAAAAAGCTGTTGTAAAAAATATTTTGGAGTTTCTAAATCAAAGAAGAATTCATTTAACAAGATTTTGTCTTTTTCATCTTTTTTACAAAACATGGTAAAAACAAAGACAATCTTAAATTACAGTTTATTATCTGGTTGTGAATGTTTGACACTGTTTACTCAGTAAAACGTGATTTAGGAAGAAAGGAAGTTTGACATTTGAAAAATACTGAAATAAATGGCAACTAAACTGAAGGAATTTGTGCTTGAAATGTCCATCACAAGTTTCATAAAGCCCTATAATTATTTTTCTGTTTTTTCCATTTTTATTTTTCTACATTCCATTTTTGTTCTTCATTCATTCATCCATTCATTCATTTGAACCCTATTTATTAACTTAAAAAGTATATATAGCGAACAATATTTAACTAAAAAAAGCCACAGAATAAAAAATAATGATTGTTATTTCTCTTTCACAAAGATAACAAATTGCTGTAATTCAGCAGAACATTAAATGCTTTTACATGATATTTAAATATTTACCTGTACACTCTAAAAATGAAATGTTGGATTTACTTAACCATGTTATGTTATCTAGTTCCACTTAACTGAGTTGAGTAAATTCAAAGCAACATACTTATATTATTTGGGTAAAAAACTGGTTGCTTTGAATTTACTCAACTCAGTTAAGTGGAAACAGGTAACATAACATGGTTAAATAAATCCAACATTTCAGTTTTTACAGTGTATTTTTTAAGGAACAAAAAACTGTATTTTTGTACAAAACATAAAATCTCATGTATCTCATATTAGAAAAGTAAGAGATGGGAAAAATGGATCTTTAAAACGGATGCAGATCTTGAAAAGCCGTTTGTTTCATAGAGATGGTTAAATGAGCCGTTCAATTTTGAACGAGTTACGTCGTCATGTCACGTGGGCGGAGCCATTTGTTTTGTCAAGCTGAACCCCTCCCCCTTTCCACCTGAGCTGCTGTCCTCCACTGCTCTGCCTGTCTTCTGTAAAATAGCAAAATGGGAGTGATTGTCTCAGTGGTCACAGATGAAAAAATAAAGACATTATGACGAATAAAAAAAATAAAACTACAAATGGTCCTGCAACTCAGTTCCTATTGTTCATTGTCAGGAGCCGTTCAAAAGGTTTGAATCATTCAACATCACATCTCTAATAAAAGTTATCCTTAAATAGTTTAGAGTTGAACTTAACATTATGTGGCATAAAGAAACATAAAATCTACAAACAATATCAATTTGTGCACACTTGCCTACTGAATAGAATCTAAGCTCATTTTTACTCCTCGTTTGGCAGAGCCCCTCCTTGTTTACAGGGCTTTATCAAAAACAGTCAACGGGTTTTCATTTTTTTTCTAAAGGAATATCTGATTCCACACACAGCACATTTTGTCTGTGTTCTGTCAGAATAGTGGAAATTCTAGGAGCCTAGTAATAAAAAGCTAAATCTCCTTTGATCTTGGACCCACTAACCAGCCATTAGCTCATCAGTTCAGTCAGAAAAAAAATTGTTTCTCCAAACTGAGGTTCTTCAAAGACCTGACAACAGGCAAGACATCAACTATCCATGAACTTTTCACAGAAGCCAAAATTCGTGCATCTATATTTTATCACTTTTTATCTCCTCCAGTGTCACACCATCTTCTCCCTTCAATTCTTCCCTTTGTTCAGTGACGGCAGATCTGTCCTAACATGAGTTTGATAAAACAATCAAAAATATGGAACATCACATTTTACAAAATAAATAAAAACTGTTCTAATAGCCATAAAACAAGGGTTGGTATTAAACTAGGTGCCAGGATTCTTTTTTGCTGTCATGCTTCTTCATGTCCTACCTGTTATTCTCTTCCCTTCAAATCATTTCATTGTGAGCACAGACACGCCCAAAGGAATTGACAAGCAAAATGATTGAAAAAGCCAAGCCAATTTACTGCTAGCAAAGGCTTATCGACTTCAGTCTGCTGCTCAAAATAAAGTCTGGAAGTCCAACTGAGAAGCTGCTGTTTCCACTTGATTAAATGCAAACACAACTTTTTGTGCCACCCCAAATGCAACAACAGGTTTTTACTCACTCAGTCTTACACATATATCGTGGTTTTTTTTTTCAGTTGTTCTCCATTTTTTTCTAATTAAACAAGATTAGTCTCTGTAGCTTCATTGAATATTCCAAAATTGTGTTTACTTATTGTGTTTGTTCAAAACTCAAGTTTTTCAACCATCTGTGCAACGGACAGATTTCAGAAACCTAAATGCAGTCAGAATATGCCTTCATATAAAGTCAATGTTTTGTAAATTTTTATAGTTTCTTACCCAGATTAAAAAAACAAAACACAGAGACACAGGTGTTTTCCCTCTCACACCACCACATTGCATTACTGACACCTGAACAGGCTTCACAACAGACCACTGACAAGCACCACAGAGCTGTTCAGGTCTTGTATTTCCACCTTGGAACGACCCATCTGATCATTTCTGCTTCAAAACAGCTGCTTTCAGCTGCAGCTTCTAAATAAGACACATCAACAAAGTGACCTTTCTGCATCCTGTTTGAAACCGTCTGCGCCCTGATCCCATCAAAAGCAGCCTCGCACCATGACGTCGTGACAGCCGTCCCCCCCGCCCCACCTCTGCCCTCAGACACTGCAGCGCCGGACAGGGTTCGGTCCAGAACCGGCTGCCATGGTGATAGGACTGAAAATAACCAAACTACACAACGTCTCCAACTGTATCTTCAACAGGATGACAGCAAAGCGATGCTTACCGTACAAGAAAAAAAATCGAATCAAATGTGTTTTATAAGTAAAAAATAAAGTTGAGAGTTGTAATTACTGGCCGACGCCTCTTTGAAATATTTTACCGTCTTCCAGCTCTTAGTTTTAGTTTTCTATTCACGTCTTTATCAACACATTACAGAACCACAACCTAATGAATTTACAGACTTTCTACAGTATGTTGATTGTTAGATTAAACATTCCGCAGATTATAAAGCTGTAAGTTTAAAATACTTAATTTTTGGTTGGAATTTCACTGTTTAATATGACAACACACTTAGCTATAATGAACATTGACAGTTTATGGGTCATTATAGAGTTTTAATACAAAGAAAGAAAACCCAAAGCAATAAAACAAAGCATCAAAGCACACATCCTAATGAGCTGTGAATCTTTTTTTCAACTTTCTTTTCTTCAGCAGAAAAAGCCTGCCTGTAAGGAGAGTTTTGCCTTTTTAATATGTTATAGAAAATACGATGAAGGGAAAAGTAAAGTGTCAACAGGCCAAACAAACATAGCTCACTGCAGATAATACCAAGTGGTGTGGTCTCTAATGAGCAATGTTTTCTCCTTCAAGTTGTGTTCTTTTGCACATGCACATACACATGTGTGGGTGTGTGTGTGTATGTGTGTGTATGGTAAAAAGGGGAATTGAGGCTCAACACCAGTGAAGTGGCCTGTGGGTTTAATTTTAGAGTTCTGGTTAATGAGAGGCAGAACTAAATATAATCTGTCCTCACAATGAAGAATCCTTACCACCAAAGAGAAGTGAAATAGAGTTGAAAAACATTTGTTTTTTCTCTAAAATGATTTTTTTTTGTTTTCTAATATTGTTTCTGAAAAACTTCTTGAAATTAATTACAAAAGTATTGTATAATTTGTTAAATGTTGTGTATAATCCAGAATGTTTTATCCAGATTAAAAATGCAAAAATAACAGTTCTTGGAATACAGTATTACAGCACCAAAACCTGTACATTTTTTTATGGAAAATAAGATTTAAGCGACAAACAGTATAGCTCACCTTTGTTTCTGCATATATAAATCAGGACAAATCCCCTCAGCTTGTTATTTTTCGCATGAGAGCACAATTCAGCGACCATAATCCCAGTGGCAGCTGATTCTTCGATGTATCTGCTCTGACTGAGTGACAGTAGCGAGGGAAGCTGTTTCCCTCACTAAATGAGCCCCCACCCCTCTCAACACACCCACAACCCCCTCCTCCCACAACCTCTCCCCTCCCCTCTCGCACTGGGATTAAAACAACCTTTTTGTCTAGCTACAAAAAGGGGGTTAAACATTTCCTGGTATCACATGAACAGCAACCAGAAACCACAAAGTTAGCAGGTTGGGTCTGTGCTTGCACAGGAGCTTAAAGCACGCATAAAGTTATTTGTTTTGTATCAGACACAGCTGTCAGCGGAATAGGCAG